AAAGTATTCTTGCATTGAGGGAGTACTTGAGTGGAGGCCCAATGTCCTTCTGCTACCTTAATACTAAACCTATAAATATAGGCACATAGATCTATGAGCAACTAGGATTTTAAAAGAGCACCATCAAAATCCTCTGGGGACAGAAATGCCTTGTTGAAGAGGAGAGCAAATATGAGAGCACAGCGCTAGCGTGGCTCTAAGGACCATGCCTATGACAAAACAATGAATGTATTCCAATGCCATTGACGAAGAAGGTAGTTCTAGATTGCTGGCAATCAGGATCCTGGGCCAATGGAACCCACACAACAGAGTTTTGTTTAAAGGTATTCTATGAATAAGCCTAAAGCTTAAGAAACCAAGCTTGGAAGGGAAAATGAATGCTTGTGAAAAACCACCATCTTCGTAGGCAGGGCACCTAGGACTAACTGTGTCTCTGTTGTTCTTTCTTCAGGCTGCCCTCCACATAACGATGGCCTCCCTTAGTGCAGCCAATGCAGAGTTTTGCTTCAACTTATTCCGCGAGATGGACAACAACCAGGGGAGTGGCAATGTCTTCTTCTCCTCTCTCAGCATCTTCACAGCGCTGGCGCTGATCCGCCTGGGGGCTCGAGGGGACTGTGCATCTCAGCTGGATCAGGTCAGTGTCAGCTCTGTTGCCATCCTGGGTTTCTGTGATTCTTCATTGGTGCCAATTATTTTTCCAAGAATCTATTTCCCTGTGATTGTCCCCCCCAAAATGCAGACTGTCATTGGAGAAAACAAACAAAACCCCCCAAGTCTTTGAGATGATTCCAACCCATATGGCCCCTAGGGGATAGGGAAGAACGGCCTCCCAAGGCTGTACATTTGTGCAGAAGCCGAGGGCCACACCTTTCTCCCACAGAGCAGCTGGTGGCCCCAACATTGATCTCTGGTGGGGATCTGAGTGTCCATCCACGGTACCACCAGGGTTTCTTATTGGAGAACACCATCAATTCCTCACACATCCCAGTGAACGCAGCCCCAGGATATTGAGATCTTGTTTTACAGTGACCAGACAGAATAGTTCTAGAACCTGAGATTTGAGTTTTCCCCTGAGGCGAGTATTTTGAAGTACAAAATTCTCAAGGATAGCCCACCACACCACATTAAGGATACATGGTTATTCTAGAAATGCATAACCCACTGCCACAGTCTTGGTTTTGACTCATAGTGACACTATCAGAGGCTGTGCTCTTTATTGAAGCAGACTGCTTGGAACTCCTGGTGGGTGCAAACCACTGATTCACTGGCCTTCCCATTAGTGTCTGATGCTTAACCCACTGTGCCACTAGTGAATGTGTAAGAAACTATACCATAAAAAAGAGGCAGTTACTACTGCAAGAGTTAATTACTGTGAAGAGTAGTTTATTCTGTTTCATCTTAGAAATCTGGAGTGATTTGGGACACATTCAGCATGCAGAATGTGCATGCTGAAATTTGCATCCAGAAATGCAAGTGCCTGGGGACCACTCCATACTTCTGAACCAGAAGACATGGGGACAGAGGGGCAACCCGTGCTTCATAAGCCTTCCTAGGGCACAAGAATGTTTGAGAACCACTCCTCAGTAGACATGGATGAGACAGTAAGGCTAGAAGGAAGTAGCAATGAAGTCCTAGTCACCCAAACACAAACAACTTAATAGTACATTCCAGAGAGTAGCACTGTATGCCCACTCCCACGACCTTCAATTCCCCTTGAACACAGCTCTGAGCCAGGGTGTTAGGGGAACTGAGATGGCCACAGTTTGTCTTCTCTCAGGTATTTGT